TGCAACCTCTAAGTTATCTAATTTACTTTGTATCCTGCTTTGTCTATAAAGCAAGAACTAGTATGTCAACTTTTTTCAAGTTCTTAAAACTGTTCTATGTTTGTCAAATAAACTGCCAGATTACCTATTGAACTATATTAAGGCTAATAACTAATTATATACAAATCAATTTGGCTAGAAGTAAGCAATTAAGCTGCCATCTCTTGATAAATTTAATAATTAAGATGAAATTGATCTTAAATTTAGAATATTCTAGAGGAAAAGAATCTGCCCAGATTGGAACTTAAACCAGTTAGGCTACCCAGACCTCCATTCAATGCTTCACTCAAAATGTAATTGGCTTGAAGTGAGACTTGAAGCAGTAACAGGAGTTATTGCTTCAAGTCTCACTTCAAGTCAATTCTTTTCTTCCAGAATATTCTAAATGTAGACTAATTTAATATAATTTAATCCTAATTATTACATTTATCAAGAGATGACAGTTTGACCATCTACTTCTACCAAATTGATTTATTTTTGATTAGTTATTAGCCTTAATATAGTCTGATAGATATCCAGAAGTTCGTTGGCAATATGAATATATTGGTTAGTTGTTTCTTTGTTTGTTGCTTGCTATTTCAATTAAAAATAGCACTGATTAATAACTTTATATAAAAATATTTTAAAAAAATCATAAAATACATCTAACAAAATTCAAGGAGTGAAAAGTTTTATTGTGATTGAACATTATTTTTTAGGTGGTAAGTATATCATCATCCAGATTAAAAAACAAAATGAAAATTAAAAAACATATTGTACGAGTCACTTAGATTTTACAAATACGTGTGCCGTTCACAGCCTGGCATATGTATTTGTAAAATCTAAGTGACTCATACAACAAGGAATTCATATAAAATGGAAAATCAACAGTGTCATGGGGGGTCGACTGTATGATTATCAAGTTTTTATAACCTAAAGATGAAATGTGTATTGTCTAAAAAACATTTCATCACAATACATTAAACTTGTGACTTCAAATTTTGTTAATGTGTTTTATGATTTTAAATTTACATATGAAATAATATAACTACTACCTTCTTTGTAATAAAGTGATCACTACTGTACTGTGTTTTTATTCTCATTTCATAATCAACCTTCTGAATGTGTTATTTTCTTGATGTCACAAACTGTTATCTTTATTCAATCCCAAACTATATACTGTATTTCCTCCAACAAACAATACCTTTAAATGCTGACAGCTTCTGATAAACACTAAGCTTTATCTAATTGGGAAACTGCCAAAAAACATTGATCTCTGATAATGCCAGTCAGCGATTCTCCACTTTGTCTCCATTTCTGCACTAAGCCTAATTTTGCATTGAAACACTTTAAAGTCACTTCCCTCTGAGAAAATACTAAATTTGATGCCATGGTAAATTTACTCGCCCCTAAATTGTGAAATGAATATAATTAAGTTCATCTTGTCATTTTACACCAGTTTCCACCCATCAATTCAGATGAAGAAGCAGTGTGTCATTTTGGAGAGAATCTGGAGCACATTCACGAATGGCATGAATAATATGAAGATTTTAAATAATAAACCTTTAACAGTGGTGAAATTTAAAAACACTAACATTTTTATCCTAGTTGATCGGCCATCTTCAGGCATGGATGGTTCTCTTTTCCACTCACTAGTATTCTAATTTTGCTATCCATGTGAGGATGGCCCATTAACCAGACCAAAAGCATCACCATTTTTTAAATTTCACCACTGTTAAAACATGCATTAATTAAGCTAAGTAATCATAACAGATCACCCTTATTAATGTGAAGATCTTCAAACTTTAAAATCTGAAAATGAAGAAGAAAGAAAATTGATAGGTGATAGAAATAAGTATGTTAGTGATGAGATAGAAGAGTGTGTGTTGATACGAACTTTAGATCAAAGCATAAAAATCCATTTGTGCTTCAAGAGATATGATTTGCACAAAGACCAAACAAATACTTGATACCAAGATTAATTAATGAAAATTCCAAAGGTAACGAGATATCTGTTGCTAGTACAGGTTACTTCCAAAAATTCATAGAGAGAAATTCTTTATCTTTAAGAAGGAAAATAATACAGAATCAAAAGGGTCCAAACCAACTTGTACATAAACTCATGTACACTGCTAACTATTAAAATTGCTACACCATGAAGGCAGCAAGCAACAAATGCAAAATTTGCATGAAAGACACCAACATGCTGGGCTATGCAAATGATTAGCATTTCAACTCATGCTTGCAAAGCAAGTAGGAGTAAGACTAACATACAGTCTGCATAAAAGGGAAGATCATAAAACTGGTTTCTCATACGGAAATCACATTCACATGTTGGTTGCTTGTATAAAGGTTTTGTTATGCCCTGTGTAAGGACGAGGAATGCCTACCAGTATGTGTCAGAGTTTGATCATAGTAGAAGCATAGCTAATGGGGACTGTGTTTATCATTCCACACTATTGGTTGTGATCCCACGACTGTCATAAGAATATGTAATTGATAGGTCTAAGAGGGCCATACAGCACAGGATCTTGGTGTCTCCTAGTTGGTAATGCCTAAGAGGATAGACATCTTTCCCATATGGCCTTCTGAGATCACACAATCATGTCACATACCCTGAAGTCAGAAATTTGGATCGTTTTCAGAACAAGTGTCTGTACAGACAGTGTGATGATGTCTGTAGCACCATAAATTATCAGCATGGCAACCATTGCTGCGGCTTCGCTTGACGCTGCATGCGCATCTACAATGATGACTTCAATGACAAATATGGCACAGGATTGATGTCACATTGTTTTTTCAGACAAAGCCCAGTTCTGCATACAACATCATGATGGACATATCTGTGTGGGGAGGCATAGAGGGGAACGATCATTGCCAGTTTACATTCATCCTTATCTTGCGGGCCCAGCACTTGAAGTGATGGTTTGGGATGCCATTGGGTATGCATTCCAGTCACCTCTTGTTCTCATAGTCAGTAATCTGGACAGCCGCCATTACATTTCTGATGTGTTAAGGGCTGTTGCTGTGCCCTATCTTCAAGACTTCCGTCACACTACCTTTCAACAGGACACTACACAACTGTATGTTGTCGATGTTGTCCTGACTTTACTGAATACAGAAGGTGTTTGACTGTTGCCCTGGCCAGCATATTCTCCAGATCCATCACCAAATGAGAAGGTCTGGTCAGCAATTGCTGAGAAACTGGCACGCTATCACTCGTCAGCCAGTATAATAGATAAACTCTGGCAAAGAGCTGAAACCGCATGGACTGCTGTAACTGTACTGTACCTGCCATCCAAACTCAATGCCTAGTCAGATTACAGCTGTTATTGATGCCAGAGACAGCTGCTTTGAGTACTGATTTCTGTATACTCCATACCTCAAAATTACCTATCAATTTAATCATGTATTGTATATGAATACAATAAATATGATTTTGCTATTTGCTTTCCTTCCTGGTGTAGCATTTTTAATGGCCAGCAGTGTATTTTGTGATGTTTATCTCAGATTAGCAATCCTCAAACAATACCCAAGATGTCAATATAACCATCAGGAATGAAATATCAGTATCATTTGATATACCAGGTAACATAACTGTTGAACTCACAAGATCAGAGTGCTTCTGTGAAAACTTCTGGCCACAAGAAGGACCATTTCACAGTAATCCTTTCTAAAAAACAAAATTATAGCTATTCATAATGTTCTGACATAGCATTTGTGACAGATTACAGGATTTTAAAAAATACTGTAATTACATACTCAAAAAATGGATGAATAAATGAAAAACTAATAATCACACAAATAGAACAAGTCCGGAAAATTTTATTCCAAAAAAGACAGCTTATATAGAATACAACTGTCATATTGGTAACAGTAAAAGAAAGGAAGTGAAAAAAATATAAAATGGACTTGGCTGTTATTTCAAATGGTTGCACAAAATACATTCAGGTTGCTAATGCAATATAAAATAAGCCATTTAAGGATAAAATGTAAACTTATAATAAATAAATGACTGGTGATAACAGCAAACAGTACACATCTAGTGAAAAACTAAAAGTACCATCATGGCATTTAATAGTGATCTGAATTCTATCTGCTTGAAATAAACTCCCACAGGATATAATTGAAAAAATAATTTAAAGATTGTAAGATAACAAACAAGACAAATGGGAGTGAGGACAATTTGTTATGTTGTTTTAAATACAAACAACCATGTGTATAAGGAAAAGATGAGCTCTTTTCAGTCAGGCAGTGAGAATCACAATTGATAATATAAAAGGAAGTAGAAGTATAAAATCCTGATGTGTTAGATGAAAATGAGGTAGTGATTTCTGATTTAAACAGTCAACATTTGAATTAAAGATAAAGAAAATTCAATAAAACTTCTGAACATTTCTAAACTGTTATTTACAAGAGAATTAGTGATATTAATAAATAAGAACATATCATGTGCATTATCGTAATGATGGAATACTGGTATGACCAGATATTACCAAATAAATGCCAGTATCAAATTACTGCCAGTCAGGTTTAATTAAAAAAAAAAAAAAAAAAAACACCAGTTTATTGGAGGAATTAACTTACAATATATAATAATTTCAATGTGCATACATTCTTTAATATTTTTGTCCTTTTATTTATCTTTCAGAATTTCAAAGTAAGAAATCAGATATATTTATTGATTTTCTTCATAAAGATCTATATTATTATACAAATATTAGTAAGATAAAATAAATTTTTACATCTGTTTTCTTAGGAAAAACTTTCAGATAATTTAGAATTGAGTACAAACAATGAAACTTATTTTTTTGGTTTTAAATTTTTATATAGTAATAATTTCATTAACTTAGTAATTTGCAAAAACACTGTTTTTTTTATTGTATTAGATTTATAGACTTTTGCATAAAATTAAACTAAAAGAAGTTATTTCCAATTTATATCTAATCACAAATATAATTAATTAGTTATATAAAACTTACATCAAAATCATTATCCCAACCAACATGCTGGATATGTCTGCAAAAGTAATTATATATCAATATCTTTCATTAACTATTTACATAATTTTTCAAATATTAAAATAAATTTTTTACTGATAGAAGATATTAATTTATAATTTTATCTGAGTATTATCATATTTATTTTAAAATAAAGTTTACATGTATTATTACATTTAAAATACAAATACAAATAATAGTAATAATAATATTTAAAAAATTTTGTTAGGCTTAACATCAATGAAAATTCAACAAGAAGTAGGTTAATAGTGATAAACTAATATACTATATTAATAATGTATTTTTTCATACTTTTCGGTTATCCATTTTTTCAGTTATCCGACCAATCCCAGTCCCCAATTGAGTCGGATAATCGATGCTCTATTGTACTTAGATAATGAGGAATAGTTTGTATTTAAAAAGTTTAAGTATAAACCTAGTAGTTTAAAGTTTAAACCTAGTAGTGAAGAAACAAACAAATAAAGGAAGACACTGTCTTGGAAATACATAAAGTTTAAGTATATTTAAAATAGAAATAGTATCATACTTATGGATAATATCAAGAATAAGAATAAGATAGTTATAACTTGAAAATTTAGAATACAGTGGAACCTCGGTATACAACCTTAATCCGTTCCTGGTGTTTGGACTTATACCGAATAGGACGTATACCAAACCAATCTTTTCCATAAGAAGTAATGTAAAAATGATTAATCCGTTCTCATGTAAAAAAAAAATGGCTGGCTTTAAACACCTCGCTTTCCTCGCTAGTTTCTGCTTGATTTTTCATGAGATCAGCATGTATCCTTTTAACTTTCTTGCAAATAATTTCTTCCGATACGCTGTCGCCGGCACACTGTTTTTCAGTTATCCAAAGCAAAAGCATTTTCTCAACATGATCTAATGTCTTCGATCTCTGTTTAGAAATTGATTTAACCCCTTTCGCAACGTTAGCAAATTTAATAATGTCTTTATTTTTCACGATTGTCAATATCGTCGTTCTCGGAATACGGAATGCAACAGTTAAATCTTGTTAAATCTCGAACACGCGTGCCACCTTCATATTTCTCAACAATCTCTTTTTCAGTTCCGTTGTGACTTTAGTCATTTTTTTTATTTTTCTGTTGCCCTTTTGCAATTCATGATTAATAAAAATAATAAAATATTACTTACGAATTAAAATCAGAAGAAATTTAACAAAGTTATAAACCGTAGCACCGCGAACGTCTAGTCTAGTGTAGTACACCGATAGTGCTACTTGTTCATAGATGGCGCGTATAATTGAATTAAGTCGTATACCGAGCAAAATTTGTTTCGTCTAAACAGGACGTATTCCGAATTGGACGTATTCTAAAGCAGACATATACCGAGGTTCCACTGTACATATAGTAAATTTGCCCATCAAGAATGCTGAATCATATAATGTTTAGTAAAGTGAAACTAAATGTAATAATTACTACTAAATACAATATTTTATGTTGGGTACATATACAGTAATACCCCAAACTTATGTGATAGGTGGGACCAAGCGATAACCACGTAAGTCAGGGTATAATTTTGCAATTTGTGTAAAATCCAAGTCGGATGTACGTAAGCTAATAAATGTTCTCATTAATCTTATCTCACCTTTTGATTTGTTCATGGTTACAAGAAATCACCACACAGAGTCTCTCAAGTCTCTGTAGATATAACAAACACAGAAATAAATAATACAAAATAAATTGTAGCTATGTGTCAATTCCGCGCGACACATCCGAACATGTAAGCCAAACAATAGCGGGGGAGGGGAGTAATCAAGAGTTGCATGGCACTCAAACAAAAGATGAATCTATGAGATTTGAAAATCGCGTAACTCCAGGTTCACGTAAGTCAAGTGCGTAAATTGAGGTATTACTGTACAAGTAATTTTGCTACACTATTTGAATGTTTTTGGTACTGGGCATAAATGACCTTTAAAATCTGAGCATCTAAATTGTACAGTTAGGTATAAATTAGATGCTTGAGCTGGATATACTTTTACATAACAAATCAGATGCAGCCAATCAGCAAGAAATAGGAAAGTTTGATGCCATTTTATACAAAATGGCTCAGTGGATGAATACATCAACTGAGAAATTAATAATAGTAGTTTGCAATTTTTTGAAAATTTTTCATAGAAAAAGTATAAAGATGAAAAGTGTTAAATAATAATAATAGTGAGTCATTTTCTTTTTTCTATTAAGAATAAGTATGTCCTTAAGATGATTGTGTCACTGTCATCCATCTTTGATTTATTCTCCTTACTGCCAGATAGCATTCAGATGAAGTGTGAATTGCATAGTGATATCAGCTGTGTGAAGAGTGTGGAAGTTATATGATTACATGCTGGCTTGGTGCAAATTCTCATGTGGACATCTAGCTTTAATGAAGTAGAATTTAGTATACAGTGAAGCATTGAAAATCCAGATTAATGGGGCCAGATACCATCTCCAGATTTTCAAATATATTTGCAAATTAGCATTTTAAGCACTGTAAACTGCAAATGCACTATAAACAAAGTTTAGATCAGCATTTCTCTAAGTGGACAATAATGCCCCCTTGTGGGCAATGAGTAATCTAGGGGGCGGTGGAAGCAGGGTATTGAACGGTGACCAAAGGCTAAATTGGGGTCACCGAAAGCCGTTACCTTTCCTCTGTTAAACTGATAAGAGGAAACATTGTGTTTAATGGTTTCCAGATGTTGAGAACAATGTACGGCAAGGGCACAAAGTGTGAGATTCATAGAAAAGTTTTCCTAAGAATATTTCCAATCCTTTCTCACACAAGAGAAAATGGATTAGGGGGCATTGAGTATAATTTTGTGGAACAAAGGGAGCGGTGGATCGAAAAAGTTTGAGAATCACTGGTTTAGATGTTCTAAATTCAAATCAGTATTTCATAATGAATGTAGGAATACTTACAAAAACTCAAGTATAATTTACAGAATCACTACATTTAAACAATAAATACACTATAATTTCAAAGTTAAAAATTTACGAATTCTGAACAAATATTAGAACCCATCAACAGTGCAAGATCAAAAGAATAATAACAACAAAGTTACTTTTTTGTCTTTTGAACACTATATAGTGTAAAACAAAGTTACTACTGAAAGGGTTAATATCCATTTTTGATATATCAGAAACATTGGTTTTTTTTAGACATCTATCACTTTTATCTTCATCATGTATAATTTTTATTTACGTAAAAAATATTACTGGCTAAACTTACTGTTGAAGTAATTTTAAAGAAGTTATCCTGATTAACACCATTAGTGGCTCATCTAAAGTTCTTTACAGTTATTTCAACCTGGCAGCTTAATGTAGAAGAAAGCTGACATCTTTTTGGAGATCCACCACATGTGAGCAAAGAACTTAATAATCTACTAATCTTGACTTTAAAACAGTTATTTACAACACACTAAACAATGTGGATTACTTGGACTGTTATGATGCCACATCATATAAACCATATGAACTGATAGGTACTTGAAACCTCCAATGTTTTATTCATTAAGTTACTTAAACTTTATGAATTAAAATAAAACATCTATAAACATTTTTAACATCTTACTCATGAATAATATCACCAAAAAAAGGTATGTGATAACACAAATAGTCAGTCATATGAGAAAACGTAAAAGTTTTTATACATAAATGTTACAAATGGATTTGAAGCTTATAATCACCATGATACTGGTATATAATTAAATAAAAATAAACAATTACCATTAAACCAGCAATTAATTGTTGTTTAAACAAATGTTTTCTTCCGTTCTAAATGGTCATCATCAGGTTTTGATGGAATGTTTGTAAAAGAACATAAACTCCAAAATTTAAAAAGTCGCATGTTGTGAAGATATGCGCATGCTCAATGACATGTTTAAAAAATTAGCCTTCCAGCTGGATTCCAGTTTTAAAATATTAAGTTTATAAAAATATATAAAAACAAACTTTACGAGGATCTATTATACGTCAAAGCAAGCCCTCCAGGCAGCTGCTAATAAGTCCATGTCCTTAAAATTAATCACTGTTTCCCTCTAAAATGCTTTAAATATTTCCAGTTGTTTGAGATATTTGAGGTTGGCCAGGTCCTTGCACCGTTGCAGTAATCAGACATTGTCAAAGTCAACCCAGACATCATTATCAACAAAGAAAGAAGCCAATGTAGTAGTGGAAAGACCCTTCTATAAATGGTGTATTTATGCTCCTTGATTCTCATTTTAGACTATGTGTGGTTGCACCAATATATTCACCAGGTCAGTTCACCCTATGATCACAAATAGAGATAGTATAGACCCCTGGGATACAATTTTGGTCCAATAGGTACTTATTGTTTCTAATACAAGAGCAAACAGTCGGAGATCTGTAAGTAATCCTGTTACTCGTAAAGTGGGATATTTCATTATAGATGTTAATATTTCTTTGTAGATGATAGTCTAAAAATGAGGATCAAAGAGCATAAATACACCATTTAGAAGGGTCTTTCCACTACTGCATTGGCTTCTTTCTTTGTTGATAATGATGTCTGGGTTGACTTTGACAATGTCTGATTACTGCAACGGTGCAAGGACCTGGCCAACCTCAAATATCTCAAACAACTGGAGATATTTAAAGCATTTTAGAGGGAAACAGTGATTAATTTTAAGGACATGGACTTATTAGCAGCTGCCTGGAGGGTTTGCTTTGACGTATAATAGATCCTCGTAAAGTTTGTTTTTATATATTTTTATAAACTTAATATTTTAAAACTGGAATCCGGCTGGAAGGCTAATTTTTTAAACATGTCATTGAGCATGTACATATCTTCACAACATGCAACTTTTTAAATTTTGGAGTTTATGTTCTTTTACAAACATTCCATCAAAACCTGATGATGACCATTTAAAATGGAAGAAAACATTTATTTAAATGACAATTAATTACTGGTTTAATGGTAATTATTTTTATTTTGATTTGAAGCTTTGTAATTTTTATGAAATATATACATTAAGACAATTTAAGATACAAATCATTGTATAATGCAAAAGTTTGTAATAATTTACCATGTGACAGTACTACTGGTCATGTAAATGACATAATTGCTAAAATTTTTAATAATTTCATCAACTCAAAATACGTTCAAATTTTTTTCTACACATCTAGAAGTCATGAGATTTAATTTGAGACCTCATTTGCTAAATTTGATCAATCAGTAAAAAATCTGATTTGTATAATTGTACAATATCCCATAATTTACAGCTAGTACAATAAACTCAATAATATAAATGCAATATTTTTTGTATCATTTTTAGAGTAATTCCATATTTCTTTTTCCATAACTTTATATTTGCCTATACTAATCACTTTTGCTTTTTATAAAATTAACATTAAATGTAAAAATCTTTATTTCTACACATTTGATTTTAAACCTTAAAATAAATGAATAAATTCTGATTTTTATGGTTGAAAGGAATGTTTTATTATTTACTGCTAAACTAAGTACAGAGAAAGAATACAATAGATTCAATTGACATAAGAAAATGCACACAGATTATAAATTTAGTAGTATTGATATTAAAGTAATTTAAAAGTGATAATATGGCTAGATATTACACTAAAATTAAAATCAAATTTATGTAATTTGTGCAATTGTAAAAAACAGAAAAACATTACTTAGTGTTTAGGTTGTAATAGGTCTCAAAATAGAGAGAGAAAAAATTTCATCTTTTAGTTAATAATTTATAAGATAACATCTGCATTATAAATCATAAGGTTCCATAAACAAGTTCTCTTTTTCTTTCAACTGAAACTATATTATTATTCTGCAGCAAAAAATCCATAAAATAGAAACAAATGGTATCCATAAAAATTAGTATATTTTGCAATATATTTGTCAACTATTACCAAATCACATACATGTATTTTTTAGAAAGATGAAAATAAATATCCTCTATTTAAAATCTAATAAAAATTATTTCACTTACTCTGAGCAAAATTATTTATTTTTGTTTGATATATGTTAAGAACAACAACATAATATGCACTATATCATCTGGAAAACATTTTATTAATTGAAGAGAGCTAAATAATTCCTCATTAGTTTGTTAAAGTTCCTGGCTGAAATCCATTATACTAAACTTAATATTTTAAATACAATAAGCAAGTTATTTTAAGTTTCAAATAATATTATGAAATATTAGTTAAAATATATTTTTAATATTTGAAAGCTTAAAGCTTTTTGCTGAGATTTGTTTATATTAAAAGCAACCACCAGTTTATTCATAAATATTAAAAAAGAAAAATGTTCTATTATTTAACTGTATGTTTGGAGGAAATGTTGAATAATAAAGTTTCTGGCTGAAATCAGATTTATCAGAACAAAACTAGCATATGACAATACATTAACCTTACTGTTTCACAGGCCAATGTACTAAATATCATCATTTATTCAAAATAGTTAAATAACAGCATATTTTTTTTGTCTTAATATTTGTTATGAATAGACAGCTAATTGTTTTTACTATAAACAAATAATAAAGAAAAAAGTTTCAACTTTTCAAAGTATAGTTATTATAAAATATTAAATATATTTATTAATATTTGAAACTTAATATTTTAAATAAAATAAGCAACTTTAAGTTCAGCATAGTAGTATTACATTAAACAATATTTAAATTGCACAAGATACTCAACATCACTTTAATATTCAAACAAACAAACATGAAATTTTTAATTGTAACTTTTACTCTAAAACTTTAAAGTTGTAGAAAATAATTTTCTAAAAAACAATTTTATCTATAGTAAAAAATTTTTATAACAACTCAAATTAAATATTATTTACTAACCACAAATTATTATACTTGTAACTTTATTAACGGAAATAAAAATTTCATAGTTTATCATAATCAAAATTATAAAATTATTTTTAATCCATAACAAACACTTCAAAATAAATACAAGTGTAAATAAACTGCTAAATCAGAAATAAATATATAATTTTGTCATGTTTTTTTAATATTAGATTGTTAGTTTTGGTTTGTTTCTATGTCAATGTACTGTATCCATGGCAACTTCATTCTGTCACACACTGTTTTTCCCCCAGATGCTTAAAAATGATTGAAAAGCCAAAATCACATATGCATATTCATTCATTCCATGTTTACTTTGATTAAGCAGTTTATCTACATTTATTATTTTTTGTCAATAAAGAACAGCATTATATATCAAAGACGATGAGGAAAAAGTCCATAAAATCTTTAAAGTTAATTAAAAGACTTTTTCCATTTCCAAAACTAGATTATAGAATTTGACTGATAAGAAAATTTAAAATACTTACATGAAATTTTTTGGCAAACCAATATCTTTTTTCGTGATCTTTGGTCGTTTTTTATGTTTTTTCTTTTTCTCTATGTTGCTGTTATTGCTCAATGATGGCAATGATTCAGCTCTTCTTCCTGTTACTTTAAAATTAAAGTAGCTTTAATAAGATGTATAAATATACAAACATTATATGAATCAATTTGATATGTAAAAAGTAAATATACCTAAATTCTATTTTTCAATATGGTTTCATAAAATATATACTTAAGAAATATTTTAAATATTAAAAATTATATATGAAAATATCTTTAAAATGTGAAATATAATAAAACAAAAGTGTAATTATATGAATACATAAAATAATGTCCTTTCATGAGTATTTTTTGGAAGACATCTAAAATTATAACTGAATATAATGAAATACAGTGGTGCCTCTTATAACGTATGCCTCAAATAACAGACACTGCGAACAACGGACTTTCTGTTCGGCAGTTACGTGAGATGAACAATGGACTTTCTTCGAACAAGTGCGAATGATGTTTCTACTCTTTTGCCATTGCCAATGACAATCTGCTTTTTTAGAATATATTAGTATTATTAAAATGTATTATTAGTATATCTGAAGTAGAAATGTAATGTAANTCTACTCTTTTGCCATTGCCAATGACAATCTGCTTTTTTAGAATATATTAGTATTATTAAAATGTATTATTAGTATATCTGAAGTAGAAATGTAATGTAATATATGTTGATGATTCAAATAAACGAAATGTAATTGTGTAGAGGTGGAGGGACGAAAAGAGAGGGTGTGGAAAAACATACAGAGTGAGAGAGGCTCGAGGGAACCAGCTGGATGTAGTAGTGTTTAGTGATCTTAATAAAGAATTATTCGTATCATATTATCTGGTCAGTTGAGTCGTTTATAATGCATCATGGCTTCTAAAAAAAAAAAAAAAACAGAAAGGTGATTTCAATTAAAACAAAGCAAGAAATCATCAGAAGGAGTGAAAGTGGGGTAAAACAGTGTCACCTTGTCAAAGAGTTTGGTCTCAGCAAGACCACCATCAACACCATTTCAAGCAAGAAAGACACCATCAAGTCAGCCAAGGTTGCCAAGGGAGTCTCCAAGATCTTCCATGTGAAGCGTAGGTCTTCACTCCATGACGAAATGGAAAAGCTGTTGAAGGTTTGGATCAATGACAGGCAGGTGAGAGGTGATATCTCTACCCAAGAAGTTATCTGTCAAAAAGCCAAACTCATCTACGAGTTGAAGAAAAACACTTCTGGAACAAGCAGCAGCAGTGGCAATGAAGAAGAGGAGTTTAAAGCCAACAGGGGGTGGTTTTTTAGGTTCAAAAAAAGGTGTGGAATTCATAGCGTCACCATGCATGGTGAAGCTGGCAATAATGACAAGGAAGAAGCAGAGAAGCTACCCAAATAATTGTAACATTGGTGTATGTGTCAAGATCTTGAAACTTCCTAACAATGTGATGTGTTCAATACTGTAGCTTTTTATGGTGCCATGTATATGTTTTTATTTAGGTTTAACACTTCAAGACTTTTGTGTAGTGTATATGGTATAGCAACATTAGAAGAGAAGACAACAGGTACAACAAATATCTTATCCATCCTCCACAGTTGCCTTATTTCTTGGGAGAACAAAGTGTACTTGATTTTTTTTAGTGTGGGCATGTTTTGTTATGATTGTTTGGAATGTCATTATATAAGCAATCTTACTGCATTTGTCAATGAAAGTGATGTCAAGTCTATTTTGATGAATTGTTTTATCTGCAATTATGGCTCTGTCATAGTATATTTTGTGTTTCATTTTCTAATACTGACTGTGGAATATATTTATAATATGGTAACTGGGTGTTAAATAATATGCTTTTGTGTGCAAGCTTTCAGTATTATATTTGCTATTTGATAATGCCTATGCAAATAGTCTGTTTGTGCTAAGAGCTTGCAACCAGAAGTTATACGTTGTATTGTTTCTGGCAGAATGTGACATTTTCTGCAAGAGTCATTTGTAAGTGATGTATCCTTTCAGGATATGTTTTCTGTAGTTTTTAGTGTTTATGACCTGATCTTGAATGGCAACCATAAACACCACAATCTCTCCAAACAGGCAGCCCTAGTCAGCCAACAGTTTGATGCAGTTTTGTCAACACAGCCCCGAGTCAGGTCATAGGCATGCTTGCCATGAAATGACTTTCCAATCTATGCTTGCTTAGTGGTTTCTATGTTATTTGTGTGTTCAGCTATGTCTAGATGCTCAGAGTGTAAGTTTAAAGGTGTGTTATTGCTGTATGCTAGAGTTATAGTTTTATGTTATCTTGATGTTTCTTGTTTTTTCTGGAAAAAGAAAAAACTCCCATAGTGTCAGAATGTATTTGTAGTACAAGTTAATTATATTAGTTATACCAAAGCCACTTTTTTTTATGAGGACAAGTTAGTCTTTCTATGGATGATTTTGGGGTGATACTAAGCATAAACAATAAGGGTTATTCTTGTTTTGCTTTGCTTGAGATTTGTGCATGTCCACTGTATAACTCCAAAAGAACAAGAGAGAATAGGAACAACATAGGCATTAATAGCTTTAATAGTATGTTTTGCATTTAGGTGTGTTCTTAGTACTGCATGTAATCTGTTCTGGTATTCAAGTGTTAATCTTTGTTTTATCTGTGCATGTTCTGTATGTTTGGCCTGTTGCAATCCTAAATACAGTTGCAAAATATATTTGTAACTCTCTCCCTCTTCTATGGATTCAATATCATCACTTCTGAGTACAAAGTTGCCTTCAGAACTTCTTTTTCAATGTGTAGTGTCTTGCATTTGTCTAGACTAGTGTTGTCCAACTGAAATTGTTTACTGGCCAAAACCAAAAAAAAAATACTGTCGGCAGCACATATTTATTTACAACAAAACATATACAATTATACAGTATTTTGTATGTATTTTAAAGTAAAACTTGTTTTTCAATTTTTTCACTTAATTTTTTAATATCAACAGGTATTTTTGATGTTGTATAACATAGTTGGTTTTGTAAGTTTTTATCAGTCAATCTATTATGACTTTTACATTTAGCAATCTTCAATTTTGAAAAAAAAAAAAAATTCACAAAGCTAGGTGATTCTCATTGCAACTGTAATGCTCATCAAGTTTTTTTAGGTTAGGGAATTTATCATTACAGATGTATTTTGTATAAAACTGAACTTTGTCATTGGCCTCAAACATATATTTCAATTCAGAAGATGACTGGAGATCAAGTCTATATGCAAATTTGTTGGAGCTTGTTCCACAACAATGTCAAATGGACATAAGAAAATATTAAATATATTCTCAAAAATTTTTAAATATGAAAATCTCTCTTGAAACTCTTAGTAAATTNGGTTATCGTTTTTTTCAGTTATCCGACCAATCCCAGTCCCCAATTGAGTCGGATAATCGATGCTCTATTGTACTTAGATAATGAGGAATAGTTTGTATTTAAAAAGTTTAAGTATAAACCTAGTAGTTTAAAGTTTAAACCTAGTAGTGAAGAAACAAACAAATAAAGGAAGACACTGTCTTGGAAATACATAAAGTTTAAGTATATTTAAAATAGAAATAGTATCATACTTATGGATAATATCAAGAATAAGAATAAGATAGTTATAACTTGAAAATTTAGAATACAGTGGAACCTCGGTATACAACCTTAATCCGTTCCTGGTGTTTGGACTTATACCGAATAGGACGTATACCAAACCAATCTTTTCCATAAGAAGTAATGTAAAAATGATTAATCCGTTCTCATGTAAAAAAAAAATGGCTGGCTTTAAACACCTCGCTTTCCTCGCTAGTTTCTGCTTGATTTTTCATGAGATCAGCATGTATCCTTTTAACTTTCTTGCAAATAATTTCTTCCGATACGCTGTCGCCGGCACACTGTTTTTCAGTTATCCAAAGCAAAAGCATTTTCTCAACATGATCTAATGTCTTCGATCTCTGTTTAGAAATTGATTTAACCCCTTTCGCAACGTTAGCAAATTTAATAATGTCTTTATTTTTCACGATTGTCAATATCGTCGTTCTCGGAATACGGAATGCAACAGTTAAATCTTGTTAAATCTCGAACACGCGTGCCACCTTCATATTTCTCAACAATCTCTTTTTCAGTTCCGTTGTGACTTTAGTCATTTTTTTTATTTTTCTGTTGCCCTTTTGCAATTCATGATTAATAAAAATAATAAAATATTACTTACGAATTAAAATCAGAAGAAATTTAACAAAGTTATAAACCGTAGCACCGCGAACGTCTAGTCTAGTGTAGTACACCGATAGTGCTACTTGTTCATAGATGGCGCGTATAATTGAATTAAGTCGTATACCGAGCAAAATTTGTTTCGTCTAAACAGGACGTATTCCGAATTGGACGTATTCTAAAGCAGACATATACCGAGGTTCCACTGTACATATAGTAAATTTGCCCATCAAGAATGCTGAATCATATAATGTTTAGTAAAGTGAAACTAAATGTAATAATTACTACTAAATACAATATTTTATGTTGGGTACATATACAGTAATACCCCAAACTTATGTGATAGGTGGGACCAAGCGATAACCACGTAAGTCAGGGTATAATTTTGCAATTTGTGTAAAATCCAAGTCGGATGTACGTAAGCTAATAAATGTTCTCATTAATCTTATCTCACCTTTTGATTTGTTCATGGTTACAAGAAATCACCACACAGAGTCTCTCAAGTCTCTGTAGATATAACAAACACAGAAATAAATAATACAAAATAAATTGTAGCTATGTGTCAATTCCGCGCGACACATCCGAACATGTAAGCCAAACAATAGCGGGGGAGGGGAGTAATCAAGAGTTGCATGGCACTCAAACAAAAGATGAATCTATGAGATTTGAAAATCGCGTAACTCCAGGTTCACGTAAGTCAAGTGCGTAAATTGAGGTATTACTGTACAAGTAATTTTGCTACACTATTTGAATGTTTTTGGTACTGGGCATAAATGACCTTTAAAATCTGAGCATCTAAATTGTACAGTTAGGTATAAATTAGATGCTTGAGCTGGATATACTTTTACATAACAAATCAGATGCAGCCAATCAGCAAGAAATAGGAAAGTTTGATGCCATTTTATACAAAATGGCTCAGTGGATGAATACATCAACTGAGAAATTAATAATAGTAGTTTGCAATTTTTTGAAAATTTTTCATAGAAAAAGTATAAAGATGAAAAGTGTTAAATAATAATAATAGTGAGTCATTTTCTTTTTTCTATTAAGAATAAGTATGTCCTTAAGATGATTGTGTCACTGTCATCCATCTTTGATTTATTCTCCTTACTGCCAGATAGCATTCAGATGAAGTGTGAATTGCATAGTGATATCAGCTGTGTGAAGAGTGTGGAAGTTATATGATTACATGCTGGCTTGGTGCAAATTCTCATGTGGACATCTAGCTTTAATGAAGTAGAATTTAGTATACAGTGAAGCATTGAAAATCCAGATTAATGGGGCCAGATACCATCTCCAGATTTTCAAATATATTTGCAAATTAGCATTTTAAGCACTGTAAACTGCAAATGCACTATAAACAAAGTTTAGATCAGCATTTCTCTAAGTGGACAATAATGCCCCCTTGTGGGCAATGAGTAATCTAGGGGGCGGTGGAAGCAGGGTATTGAACGGTGACCAAAGGCTAAATTGGGGTCACCGAAAGCCGTTACCTTTCCTCTGTTAAACTGATAAGAGGAAACATTGTGTTTAATGGTTTCCAGATGTTGAGAACAATGTACGGCAAGGGCACAAAGTGTGAGATTCATAGAAAAGTTTTCCTAAGAATATTTCCAATCCTTTCTCACACAAGAGAAAATGGATTAGGGGGCATTGAGTATAATTTTGTGGAACAAAGGGAGCGGTGGATCGAAAAAGTTTGAGAATCACTGGTTTAGATGTTCTAAATTCAAATCAGTATTTCATAATGAATGTAGGAATACTTACAAAAACTCAAGTATAATTTACAGAATCACTACATTTAAACAATAAATACACTATAATTTCA